GTTTAGGGTTTGGGCCTTAGGCTTTTGGGGCTTCATGAACCTTCAAAGGTGTACGGCCTATCGAGCGTCCTGCTAGCATTTTCCAAGCCAAAATGGAACTTCACAAAGGGCCCTAGAGACTACAGCATACAGGAGTTGGGGCTAACCCAGACCCATGATTAATAAACCCCCTCCCCTTAATAGGGATTATAATAGGGATCCTAATATTTAGGTCCTTAAAAGGAACGGGGTTTATTAATCATGGGTCTACATTACCAAGCTCCCCGTGCTGTACTGCCCTCAACCCTTCACCTTTAAACCTTAAAACCCTAACCCGCCCTAACCCCCCTACCTCTGAACGCGAAACATCGAGGCCCAGATGTTCTTTCAGGAACAAGATCCTGATCTCGGAAAACCTATAGTCCCCCTTAAGTAGATAGACTATGGCTTTGGGTATATTATGATAAGATCCCCCCCCAGATCCCATGTTCTTTATGTATCTACTTAAGGGGGACTATAGACAGAAAACCGGACACCCCGGCCGGAACCCTACCTGGGTTTAACCCTAGTTGGGCTTAGGGTTTATAAAGCTATTAGAATAACCGCCCAGAAAGGCCAACCCATGAAAAACAAGTAAAAAAGGCAAGCATTATAATCCTGAACCCTAAACCCTAAATCCGAGACGCTAAACCCTGCATACTTTGAGGTTTCATGTAAACCGTGCACCCTGAACACCACACCGCGGCCATTCCGTCTCAAAGCCATGCAAAAGACTGGATGGTTGTTAAGGAACTTGATTTAAGTTACTATATTGGGGGAAATCCTGCTAAGTACGAAATATACCGCTTATGGTAACGTAATTTAAGTTCCTTAACAGCAACCCAGAAGAGTTTGTTGAGTTTACCATCACTAGCCTAAACCCTAAACCCAAACCACACTAGCCTTGATCCCATGGGAAAAGGCGCCGGCCGACGACCTGATGCAGTTGGAAGATTCAGATGTGCAGGCTCTAAACCCTCAACCTTGGGGTTAGGGTTTAGGGTTTAGGGTTAGGGTCTAGGGTTTAGGGTTTAGGGTTTAGGGTGTACTGCCCCCCCCAGTAACAGTCTATATTAGGGGTCCTATTAAGAGCTAAATATAACCATATTAGGGTTCAGGGTTTAGGGTTTAGGGGTCCTATTAAGGGACATATATAGCCATAGTATAAGTATTCTCCAACTGTTACTGCAGGGGAGCCAGTACTGAACCTCAACCCTACCCAGAGCCTCCTATCTAATTCTTCCCTTGGATAGACTATTTGAGATCCCCAAAAAAAACTCTCAGAGGGATCCCTAATCCCTAAACCCTTGGGGAAACCTGGAGGATTGCGGGCTTCAAGGGAAGGATGGCCTCCTTCACCCTTGCCCAAAACCTTCGACCTTGCCTCGGCCTGTATCCTAAACTCAGGGGGCTCAAAAGGTGGGATGAAGGTAGGCGGGTTAAAGGTCCTTAGTATATACTCTACTACATTGGGGCATATTCCCATACCCTACCTTCCTTTACCCCACCTTTCACGCCCTCAGATTCAAACCCTTAACCTGAAAGCGTTCGTGCTTCATACCGTGCAGTAACTTAGTAGGTGTAGGCTAGTGTCTGCAGCAAGGTTTCGGGTTTAGGTTTCAAGTGCCTGGTCGAAATTTCGAAGCAGACTTAGCACCCCAGGTGGTGAGCCAAACATCTCTCCCCCCCCGACCCAATAACTACCCTAAACCATAACCCCCCCGTAGAGATGGAATCCCCGAACAGCAGGTTGATAGATGTAGTGCTTGCCATACTCGTCGTCGGCCCCAAAATCCCATAGAACCTACCTTTACCTCAACCGCAAAAGTACGTAGAATAATGGCCTTGTGGGCCATTTTGAATGGTTTGGGGGCTATTATTTTACCTACTTTGCGGGTTTAGGTATCCCCACACCACGGGTCCAAGTAAGAACTTTGATAGCTTCAGATACCAGAAACTATAGAGATTAGGGTAATGGTAGTTTCCAAAAGTATGGAACCCCTTTACTCCCAAAACCCTGAATCCTAAACCCTAAATCCCTAAGACCTAACCCCTGATCCCTTAACCCTAAACCCCATATAACCCATTATAGTAGCTTCCATTTTCGTTTCCATTATTCCCATATAATCCTAAACCCTAAATCCCTTAACATCACAGTAGGGGCAAAGCAACAGCTGACCCTGTAACAGCTTCGTTTGGCTTCGTTGAGATACCCGACCGACGCCTACAAAAAAGAATTTTGGGTTTAGGATTATATGGTTTAGGGTTCAGGATCTAGGGTTAAGGGGCTGCGTCTTGTG